CGGCGCGGTTTCGATGGTGGAGGGGAAGGTGGTGCACGACGGGCCCGAGGCCACGCCGACAAGGGAAGGAGAGGGATGGGGGTCGAGGTGGCCGGCACAGGCAGCCCAAGCACCGGCGCGTGGCACTCTGCCAGGCGGTTGCCGAACCGGCGCGGGCGGCGGAGGAGACCCGCCGCAGCCGCGGCGGCCTCGGCTCGGTCCTCCTCCGCCGCCCAATGGCCCAGCACAGGCGGCTCGGGAATGGGAGGAGGGGGTGTCACGAGACGAGGAGTGGGGATAGGACGGGGACGGGAGGCCGGCGGGAGAGGGAGGCGGGGAGGAGCCGGTGAGGAAGGGACGTTCGGCGACGAGGGTCAGCGCCGACGCGGGCGACGACGAGAACGCCCTGGCCATCGCGCTCCCTAAAAAAATTTCTTAATCGACGACGAGGGTTTTTCCTTTTTTTTTCTTGCTGATGAGATCACGAGAAGAAGAGGCAGCCCGTGACCCGTGTAGGTTCTGTCTTCTTGTGTACTTTACTTATCGTGGGCTTCCTCGATTGGGCTTTCGATCTCGCCCCAACCCGCAGCGTCCTCCCGCACTACACGAGCTCTGAGGAGGGCGAGATGTCTCCGGCGGCGGCGCCGCTCGACGACGAAAACCTACTCTCGGAGATCCTCCTCCGCCTCCCCCCGCTGCCGTCCACCCTCCCCCGCGCCTCCCTCGTCTGCAAGCGCTGGCGCCTCCTCGTCTCCGACATCCTCTTTTTCCGCCGCTTCCGCGAGCACCACCGCCACAGCCCTCCCCTCCTCGGCTGCTTCGTCGAGGGCGACCGATGCGTCTCCTACACGCCCACCATGGATTCGCCCGACCGTATCCCCGGCGAGCGCCTCTCATTGCAGCTCATCGAAACCTGCCACTCCTCGGTCCTCGGCTGCCGCCACGGCCTCGTGCTCATCTCCCCCGATTCACGGAATCACGTCCTGGTGTGGGACCCCGTCACCGGCGATCAGCACCACATTGCTTTCCCCCCGGGGTTTGTCGGGGTCGCAAACTCGATCCACGGGGCGGTGCTTCGTGCCGCCGGCGAGGCCCGCCACTTCCAGGTGATCTTGGTAGGGGTTGGCGGGGAAGACAAGCAACATATGCGATTGCTCGCCCGCGTTTACTCGTCGGAGAAAGGCGCCTGGGGTCCTCTCATCTCACCACTGGTTCCATTTGAGGGATATACTACGAAGGGTATTTTCAGCATGTATGTTTTCGGCTTGTCGTCTGTGCTGGTTGGGAATTCCCTTTACTGGTGTCTTGGTGGGCGTTCGGATGCAATTCTCGAGTTTGATTTGGAGAGGCAGAGCCTAGCTGTGATCCGAGTACCACCGTGTCTGTCTAAAGTGGACCTTCTCCAATTCGCGGTTATGCGGGCAGAGGGTGGTGGACTGGGATTACTCTCCATATTAGGCTTCACCGCCCAATTATGGAAGAGAAAGACTGGTTTTGATGGTGTTGCATCATGGGGGGTGGCAACAACTATTGAACTGGACAAGCTACTTTCCCTGAATCCAGAGAAGGAGAGAGTGCAACCCCTGATAGAAGGGCTTGCCGAGTACAATAATGTGGTTCTCCTGACTACAGGTGGTGATGCTGTCATCATGCTGCAGCTTGAGTCACTGCAATTCAAGAAATTTTATGAGACTCCCAACGCATTTTATCATCATCAATTCGAAAGTGTGTATTCTGCAGGTAATAGCATTGCCTTTAACGCATAATGAAGTTGTGATGTAGTGTTCTGTCCGGATGCTTGTGTCTCGGTATTTCATATAATGATTATGACTTATAAACCGGGAAAATATTTGTTAGTGGTACCTAGTTTAGGGAGGGGGTGGTGTTGTTTTGAATATTCCGACATCGTTAATTTTTATTATAATTAGACTGTGTGGTACATGAAAACTAACAGGAAGCTTACTTGTGTAATTCAATATTGTTATCTCTGCTGATCTTGCTAAAAATCCTATAGAAATAAAAAGCACATTAATCTGTAATACATGATGTTTGGTTGTGCCATAGGAAAAAAAACAGGAACATTTTTCAAGGGCTAGGTGAGTTCCATATTTGTCATCTGAAGTCTGAAACGAAAAAAGTTTCCAAGAGGTTGGACTCGATGGAAATTTTCCTTTGGAATTGCGTGTGAAGTAGACCATAGGAAAAGGGCCTATGTGTTCCAACTTGACATTGCTATGGCCTTTGCATGATTTGTTTTTGATTAGAATCCTTCAAAGTTCCTCTGAACCGAAGAAGCCCTTAATTGTTTTTTCTGAAATTACACATGCGAGTTTAACTAAATATCTTCAGTGATGCCTTCTCCTATCTATTTGGCTTCCCATAGGAATGTCATTGGTTGTTTCAGTGTTTGACTTCTTATGCTTGTAGGGACAAGCATTGGTGGTGGACATGATGGAGCTGAATTTTTGCACAGTACATAAGATGATTGTCTGGGTAGATATATCACTATGATTTTTGGTTGAGCAGGTAAACATATCTTCTGCATGCAAGTTCACATATCTAAAAGTTCTTTCGAAATAAAAAAATATTGCTTTCCTTTTTACTACCATTTCTCTGTTACCAAATAGATTGCTTTTGTTATTGTGGGCTCTTCTCCCGCTAGAATCTTAGCTGACTTTGCCGCCGGCTAGCCAGGACGTGAGATTGATATTGCAGGAGATAAATAGGGACTGGGGTAGGGACGAAGCTAAGATCGAAAAAGGGGATTTTTCACTCATTCATAGCTTGCCATCGTTATGTGCTTACATCATTAATTCTAGCCATCCTTATAGGCCAGACACACGTGACGCTTACGGTTGGGCCCCGCTTAATTTAACAAGCTTCGCCATCGTTATTCGCGTACCTAACTTGGTGGTGCCCTTGCTCTTTTATGTCTTCTCCTCTGTTCTGGCCATGTCACCTGTTACATTTCCTCGGTAGTGCTGCTTCAGTACATTGAGATCGTCCAAGTTGCCAGTTCTTGAGAATACCAGCCCAGTTGATAAACCCTTGCGGTATTAGCGGAATTCCCTTTCTTGACGAGTCGCCGAAAAAGAATCACTTCAGGTCTGGATTCTCCTCATCTAACTCAGTGATTTCGGGACATGGAACACGGGATGGACGGCACTGCCAGGCCGCAGTTCCAAGAGATATACCACTGAGCCAATCAGCTCCAACACAGTGTACGGTCCAAAGTATTTGAATGCCAACTTCAGACAAGGCCTGTTCACCGCTGAACATTAAGCATTAGGCTGCAGTTTGTGCAGTACGTTCCCACCCACTTTAATGGTTTTCTCTGATCGATGCTTGTCAGCTTACGTTTTTGTTTTGTTCTGTGCATTGGCCAGATGCCCCTTTCGTCAGTCCAGTTGCACTTGACATTCTGCCACAATTTTGTCAGCTTCAGTTGATGTTGCGAGCTGCACTTAACGTTCTGCCACAATTTTTACCTTTATTAAGTACTCCCTCCATAAAGAAATATAAGAGCGTTTAGATCACTACTTTGATCTAAACACTCTTATATTTCTTTACAGAGGGAGTAACAAATTATGATTGAGAGAGTGATCAAAGTGTTGTTTTTTAGGCTTTTTCTGGTGCTAGTGATTAGCCTGCTAAAGTTTTTCTTCTCTCTGTTCCCCCTGTCCTTCTGTCTCTCTCGCCATGTATATATTCTCTCTCTTGTAAATTATCTATTTTAATAAAATTTACTGGCGGGGTCTCCCCTACAGTTTCCCCCTAAAAAAGGTGTTGTTTTTTTATGCCACGCAGTTTAAAAAGATGGCATGTATTTTGTACCGAAGGAAGTTTTAAAAATATAATTCAAGTGGTTTGTAAGCTAGATGGTTCAGCACTATTTGCCTCTGTTGGGGTTATTTGAACCATCGGTCTCTTAGCCTCTACTGAGAGAAGATGGCCAAAATGACCGAGAATGTGCTGACAATAGAAGTTGAAAGTGTGCAACCACCCCAAATTTTACCTACTGATAATCTCTGTTTTTTTTTCCGAGTGCTGAGATGATTCAACTTTGTTGTTTTTGGTAGAATTTCCTTTATGGTGAAGCTAATTTTTACTGTTTGAATCTTTAAAAGTTGTGAGGTTGCATAACTTGTACTCTTTTCCATGGATTAGTAGTACAAAAATGGTTTGCCTAATGACATTGGTTGCTCCACAGGTACCTAGAGTTGTATTCTGGCTGCTGAGATGCAGGAATTGGCTTCTTTGCTGTGGGTCCGTCCATTTTGTATGCTTCAGACGGAGATATCGACCCCCTACGTTGCACGCATGGTCAACTGGGAAGTGGAATTGTAGGATTAATCGTTCATTTCTAACTTACCTCTGTTATCTAAGTTCTAGTCACAATTAGCCAACTGGCTTGTTGAAGATGTACACTTGCTGAGATGATCCTGGCTTACGTCGTGTGTGTTCATCGTCTCTCTGTTTCCGTTTGATTATGTTACTTGTTGTAATAGGCCGGGAGATTTGACGTAATATTCTTGCTTATGTCCATTGCGTGTGCCTGTTGAATTTTTTTGGCTGATGAATGTTGGATTACACTTGCCTGCCTGGTGCTATTCGACCAGCAATAGCAGCAATGGGGGTTGCAGTTTTATCTATTCTGGTTTTATTTGTTGGTAGTCAGCAAATGGTAATGTAATCTCTGATGCTGCAGCAAATACAACTATAAGTGTAAAGCCAGCAGCACCCCCTTCATATGCTGCAGCAACAGCACCCCATTCTGATGTGAGGATGGTACTGGTCTACTGGACGGCCAGTCGGAGCTCCTCACAGCTACTTCTGTCCCATCACCAAAATCCAAATCTAGTCAGGCGCATACAGCTGTTAGGCAACTCTAACGCCCCTAAATATCTGGACAGCACTATCTGGATACTTTTGGCCGTCCAATGCCATGCACCAAATCCATCCGGGCATGTCCTGACGTTCGAAATCACATATATCGTCACCAAACCAGGGGAGGTTTGCGGGTGTCCGAACAGTCACCAGGCTACACAATGCACGCAAATATATTTAACACTGGAGTTGACAGAGATAATAACCAGACAATGCATCAGGCCATGAGCAGCCATACATCATATAGCTAGAGTTCTTAGTAGCAGCAGCACATCAGTCTCATTCAACACAGATAACTTAAGTTCATACAACTGACAAAATAAAACAGATATATGCCCATGAAGCATAGACCAAAATAAGACAACGACACAACCACTTCAACTGACAACAAGATATGCAGTTTTGCACCATCAATCCAACTCCATCTCTCCATATCAGCGAGGCAGCAAGATTTCCCAAGGCTCCGAACTGTACAAACTGTAGGTTAGCAAATAATGTAGCAAGTCATTCATGTACTTATCAAGGGAAGTAAGTAGTACTCACCCAGATTTATGATGCGGAATCATGCATCATCGAGGATGGAATTATTATCACTAGAGCTACTCTCAGATACGTTGAGGCCAACCATTTCTTCAAGTAATTCTGAGATTAAAGTAACGCAATCAGAAAGCAGTTAAATTCAGCAAGGAACTAGGAAAAACAAAGGAAGCACGGAATGAACATATTTTCGTACCTTCCACTACTTCGGTCAACTGCTCTGTATCCTCTTCATCATTTACAGGAGCTGATCCCAGCATCCAATCCTGAGAACAAATGAGTGCTTGGAGAATGAATGGAGTAAGAGAGCTCCTAAACTCGTCGAGGATACGTCCACCGGTGCTGAAGGCAAACTCAGATGAAACTGCAGATATCGGGACAGCCAAGACATCACGAGCTAGCCGTGATAATACTGGGAATCTAGAAGATTTGACTTTCCACCACTGGAGAATATCAAATTTGGCGGCGTGTGCTTCAGTCTCCTTGGCAAGATATTTCTCAAGTTCAGACTTTGTAGGACCGACCACAGAGTTGTTCATTCTCATCCTCTTGGTAATTAGGGACCTCATCAAGCTCATGCCTTGCACCACATCGGATTCCATTTCCTTCTTCTCACTTGAAGCATACATCTTGCCATACTCCTTAAACAAGTCATTAAGTGTTTCACTCATCTTTTTCCAAACTTCTTCTCCTTTTATCTCACCAAACATCTCAGAAGTAGCAAACCTTGTGTAATCTGACAACTTGTACCTTGGATCAAGAGCAACAGCCACAAAGATCAGAATGTTGAAGCTCTCATGATCACCCCAATACTTCTTGTACTTAGCAATCATCCTTTCAGCCATTTCCTTCCGCAAAGCATCGGCACTCTCACACCACTCTCTCAACAAGATATAAACATCGGCAATTTCATGGAAAAAAATGTGAGATGTGCAATGATTATTTGCTGAAACACGAGCAGTGAGGTTATAAAAAGGCTGAAGAAACTCTGAGATCTTCCTTGCATACTCCCAATCTAGAGCTTCAGGAACTCCTGGCGCTTCCTCACTATTTAACTCAGTTGCAAAGTAAGGGTCATCATCGCCATACCTATCGAACACCTTCTCATATGTGACTGCAGTTTTCAACATTAGGTATGTGGAGTTCCATTTTGTGCATACATCAAGTGGTAAGAATGCTTTGCTGTCCACCTTCTCCAAGTCAGCACACCTCTTAAATCGAGTAATTCTAGATGGAGAATTTCTGATAAAACGGACAGCAGCACGGACTCGCTGCACTGGGATATCCAACTCTCTTAGGAAATCTGAAACTATCAAGTTTATGACATGGGTAGCACATCTCATGTGAAAATATCGTCCTTCTGCTATGCTGGTTTTAGCATTGTTCATAACCATCTTCATGTAACTTATAATGCCATCGTTTGCTAATGCATCATCAACAGTTATTGAGAACACTTTCTCTAAGCCCCAATACACCAAACACCTCTCGATGTCCTTCCCAATGTCTTCCCCATTACGACAACTAATCAAGAAAAACCCAATAATCCTCTTATGTAGCTTCCAGTCAGTGTCAAGGAAATGAACGGTAACACACATATAGCTCTGTTGTTGCATAGATGTCCAGGTGTTGGTTGTTAGGCTGACTCTTTCACAGTTTTCTTTAAAGAACTTCTTCAGTTTCTCTTTCTCACGATAGTAAATAGAGACACAATCTCTAATAGTGGTTCTCCTTGATGGAACATTAAACCAAGGACATGCCTTTGACATTAACTTTCTGAATCCTGGTCTCTCGGAAAATGAAAATGGGAGACCATCCATGATTATCATTTTAGCAAGAGCATATCTCATCTTCTCAGGTTCCAACTCCCAAGCAGTGAGTGCACACTTAATGTCATCCTCCTCATCTGTTGTATCTTCAAGAATTGGCTGCTTGTCCTCATTGATCTTATTAGGGTCACTCCTGCAGGTGGTGAATGCTTCAGCAAGGATGACATACCATTATTGCTTTTGATTCGCAGCAAAGCTCTTGTTTGGAATAGTTGCACTTGTACCTCGAA